GTTTCTAATATTGTCAGTTGTATATTCTGCCATCCAATAACATTGGTTTGTTACATATATATTTCAAATGGCAGGCGTTATGATAGGTATCATTAGCCCTTTAGTTGGCTTCGGGCTTCACAGAAAGGAAGAGGAACATCAAAGTGGTAAAAGTCGAGAGGGAGGGGGAACAGAATAATGATTCACAGACGTAAAAGAGACAGACAGACAGACACAAAGGTAGAAAAAAGGTGAGGTGAGTACTGTGGAAGGAGTCGAATATGAAATGCAGTGGGGTCTTAGTAGTTTGAAGTCTGAAGTCAACTGCCGATTAATAGACTTTTTGCCGTATGAGTATACGTTGCCCAGTGTGCACCACGTGGAGTTAAGTCTATCTCACACCCCTGGTTTGTTACTATTCTATGGAATTATTTGTTGACGATATTAGTTAGTGCGTAAACTATTACACAATTTAAACATCTCTACAGTTATTACTAGTACATTGTTCATCTATTTCAAATCTTCGAGTCTTATAATATGGCATTAGTTTTACCCTAAAACAATGTCGGAATTTAAGGTCTTAAATTAAATATAAAAATTGTGTTGGTGGTGGGAAGGGTTTATGTGTCTGTTCGGTTTTAAATCGCTTTTATTACTTTACTTCAATTTGACTGCCTAGAAATTTGCTCTGAGGTGAGATTGCTAATATTGTGGCTTAATGTCGTGTTTGGGGATTTCAGTATTGCTCAATAAATGCCGCTGTTAATTATTATGTTCAGTCAATTCCCTCTTAGCGCACTGTCGAGCACCCTCCGAAAGTTTACCCAATCACATAACTTATTTTCCTATTTACTTTTAGATACAGACGAAGCAAGCGCAAAAGGAGAAGGTGGACGTGTGGGCAATGAAGGAGGTAGTAGTAAGTTGTCTCGTAAGCGCAGTGGCATTGCTCCTGGTAGCCTTGCTGCCGCCACTGTGGACTCTCGCAAGGCGGCCGTTCTCCAAGAAGTCATGGGTGAGACTGGCTCGCGTAGTGTCGTTGTCGCTGTTGACAAAATCTTCTCCGGCTCAGTTCGTCTCGATGGAGATGCTATTGTGGACTTTGTGCAGGCTCTCTGTCAGGTAATTTTGTCTTTCTTATTCTTTATTTTGCTTGTTTAAAGAGCTTTTCTTGGTGGTTCGTTTGAACTAGGTTTTTAATCTGCTTATTTGGGCTCTTTTGCACCTAGCATTAAGCATCCGTTTGTTTGCGATTATTAAGCCCTCGAACGTATTAACTTGCGTCACTTTTTTGTGTTCATTGAACACACGGAGAGCCGATGACTTGCTTCTTTTTACGTGTTTGATGAAGTTTATAACATAAAGCCTTTGTATTAACACAGTCTTTTTTATTTGGTATGTAATTTGTGTTAAACCATAATCCGCCGAAGTATTAAAATCGGTGTATCCAAGGTTATAATTTGAAAAGGCGCCTAAATACGTCTGTTTTGATTGGTACTCAGATAGACCATGGTTTTAACAGATTGGCCATTATGAGTTTTAACAGAAGGGAGTGTTTTTAATGGATATTCTTAATCCTACGTTCGAATAGGACAAAATGAGCGTACCTTTATCTTATTTATATAGTGAGTGGCACTTCAAAAATAGTAAAAAGGTGACATGTTCTATTTTGGGGTGGGAAATATGAATAAAGGAACTACGGAATGAGTCAAGTAAAAAGAGGAACAGCAAAATAGGAGTCGGTATTGAAAAGAAATCTTTGAGAATTGTACTTTTTCATTGATTTACTCATGTTCTAGTAAGAACCAGTTACTTATCAATGTTTTAATTCCCATATCAATAGGGTGGGGTTATTTGCACGTCAATCTTTCCACATGGATTTATTATTATCTCATAGCTCAAAAAGAATTTTTCAGGTTGGCAATGGCTTTTTACCGTAGTGCAGATAAGTCTTCTGTCTTATTTATACTCAGACATGCAGTCTTTCGTTATGTGGAAAACGCATTGTGTTAAGCTCGCATAAATTGTAGACTTCTGCCTCTGGCTGTTTTAGAATAGCGCAGCGATTGTGTCTGTTGCCATGGCGAACAGTACTGACTATTCTATATTACCCAACACTCATTTGTCGCACGCCGTCGTTTCTAAATGTCCTTTGCGAGTCATTCTTGCTACTTGGCTTTCTCTATCCTCTATTTGCTACTTATATCCTATTTACTAATTTATTTCGAATTAAATCGTTGTAGCAATATACGAATAGGAATATTTGATTCGAAAGATAAAAGTTGTATGTATTTCGCACTAGGAATAAGGTTAAGAATAAATTCTCGTCTTCGTATTCCCTTGATTTGTTTTCCGGCCCATTTACTGCGATTCCATAAATAAATTTTTGGGATTTGTGGAATTCTGAACTTCGTTTCCACTTTATCATCAAATACTATTGCATTGGGCTCTTGATTGCCTTTTATATATGAAATTTAAATTCTGCGGGTTATTCGAGTGTTCGTTTTCAATCTGCATTATTGTTCATTCATGGTTTTTTGCATATAAATCCTACTTTGAGTCAGAAAAATCCCAGTTAGTAGGGCAATAAATGCTACTTTTATTAATAACTTAAATCGTGATCGATTTGCGAACGTAAAATGTATGGTATCTCTGGGGGTTAAAAGTTCACTAATACATCGTTATTTTGTATCATGGTGATTTTGTGTAATAATGCTTATTGTCGTTGAGTAGAAATTTTATCTGATCGTATTAAAAATACCATTTGCGCTTATTAGTAATTGACTTGTGTGACGATGGTGCTGCTTAATAGCAAAACTGCTCTATCTATTATCGTACACATCCATTTGTGTATATAGTCAGCCACGCACTGTTTAGTCAATAGAGTGGTAGAATGTGGGCCTTATACGAAGGGCTATGGATTACCAATGTCACATAACTTAATGAGCTTTAAATTTTCCTGAAAAATCAGAGTATAGGCCTCTGCACTTTTGTATTGATTATCGGCCTTAACCCCCTGGACCGCGAACTGGATAAAATGTATTCAGTAGATCGTCAATGATGCATTTTTTATTTAATATTAGTTTGGATCCTAACATGTGTAGATCTTTCAATATTCTCAAAAATAGTTTTTGTACTGCCTGACCCGATCAAAGTGTTGTAATGTGTTGGCCAAACTAGCTTTTAATATGCACACTGCGCTTTTTCAGGATCCGGAGAAAGAGTGAGAGAGATAAATGAGAGTTGACGTCGTCATGACCTTCCAAAATAATGATGTAAAAGTGACATTGCGACGTTGTGTAATTGTACATCCAATGTACACAGTAATTTTTTTCTTACCTCTTTTTCATGTGGAGATCTAAGAAGAGTTTTTTAATGCTAGAATTGCTCCTTTTGGGAGCTATAGCCCACTATCCAAAATTTAATTCCATTATTGTATTTTCTTTAACTTCTTCATGTGTGGGGAAACGGATGTTTTCAACAAATTGTACAATTCATATATATTCGCATATAAATACTTCCTAAATTTGCGTTCAATAATGGTTATTTAAAACAAAAATTTTGGACTGTTAACTGTGCTATTACTTTGGGCTGGAAGGCCATCGTGTATAATCTTTGCTATTCTCTTTCAATCATTTCAGGTATCCCTGGAGGAGTTATCATTGCCCCAACCCAGGACCTTCAGTTTGCAAAAGGTAGTGGAGATCTCCTACTATAACATCGGTCGTATTCGTCTTCAGTGGTCTCGTATCTGGGAGCACATTGGTCAGCACTTTACTACTGCTGGTCGTTCGAGCAATGAGGATGTGGCCATATTCGCCGTGGACTCTTTACGTCAACTTGCTGTCAAGTTGATAGAAAAGGGGGAATTACCTAATTTTCACTTCCAAAAGGAGTGCATTCGGTTAGTTATGCTTCATTAAGTCGCATTTATGGTGTCACGCTACTCGATGGATTTGTGGTTGCTCAGTTTCTGCAGTAAAATAATCTTATGGTTATTTCGAAACTTTTCAGTTTTGGGCCATTCTCTTTGTTGTAACTGTCGTGTGTTTCTTGCAATCTTACCAAACATTCCGGTTGTTTGTGGAAAGTTACTCAGAGACAATTAGAGAAATTCATTGCTTCACTTTTAGTGAATGTAATCGCCCAAAGTTTGTGCCTCAGTAGTTCAATGATCAACACACGAGGCAGTTAAGTCAGTGTTTGCGAGATCGGTACGCATCCATTAGTATGGAAGGTCCACTTCGCCGGTTATCTACAGACAACAGGGCGATAATAGAACTGGGGTTCTCACTAAAGCTACATCGAAATTTATTTATATCAAATTGCAGGCTTTATGATAGTTATCGTTAGCCCTTGAGTTAACTTCGAGCTTCACAAAGAGGAGGAGCATCAAAAACGAGAATAGGGGGAAGAAGATTGATTCTCAGGCGTTAATGAGACAGGCACAAAGCTGGAGAAAAAGATGAGGTGGGTACGATGGGGGTGGAGGGAGTGGGGGAATTTGACATACAGTAGGGTCATAGTAGCTTGAAGTCAACTGTCGGTTTATAGACTTTTTTGCAGTATGAGTTGCCCAGGGTGCACCACGTGGAGGTAAGTCTATCACACTACCCATGAAATCGAGATAGTTCCTCTAATTAACTCAGAGAGCTTATTATTTCATGTCAATTATGCATTGGTGATGAGTGGTCTTAAAATCTGCTTTTCTTTATTTAATGTTAATTTTTGCGTCCCCTTAACTTAAGACACTTAAGAGTTAAGTTACTTAAGTGGATTTTTTCTAAAATTAAGTAACGGCGTATTTCACAAATCCAGTTTTTTTTCATTATCCACACTCATCTTTTGATGTTACTTGAATTCATTACTATTGCTTTGTTCTTTTTCTTCTCTTCTTCATGTATGTTTTAAACGATTTTAACGCATAAAACAATGTAGCTGTGAGCTGCTTACTACTTTCCGTCAGTAAATATCATGTGTAGATAGGGTGTCACCATAAAAAGCTTGTAGTATTTTCTTTCCCTCGTTTCTTGCCCCATTATAGCGCCTATTCTGTTATCTCTATTTGCGTGACCTTTGAATCCATGTTCATTTTCTAAATCTAATTACATCGGGTTGTCTTGATTTTTTATAGTAATGCCATTATTTTAAGCCACAATGGTGTAATTTTTCAAAATGTGTGCTTGTCAGACTGCTTTAATTGCTCATTAGTGTCGTAGTTTTTTGCATGAATAAGAATACTTTTATATCTCACTTTGATGAAGTGTTCTTAATTGTAATTAACCTGTTTATATTCCTCCCGATGGAGAAGAATGGCCATCATCCTTTTTGTAGTGCCTTGAATGCGGTTCTTGTTGTGAAGTTGAACTATTTCATCGACACCTTTGTACTGTTAGATGGTTCCAGTTGTTGCTGCTATTCTACGTGCCCATTAGGTATAGCTCGTCTGCTACATTGATTTGACCTACAAGAAGAAAAGACTAGTGCTGTGGTTTGGAGATATTTTCTGCTTTTAATTTGAATCTTGCCCCGGTTTGTTGGGAAAACAATCAGCCAATCCTTGTTATTAATTGCCTTTCATATTCGATGTGGTGGAACAGCCCATCAATGAATGGTATTTTTCGTGGCCTTGCTGGCACGTGGTGATGTGGAAGTGGCATGCTGGTTATGTGGAGTTTCCACCCACTTCATGGCATTGATTCGCTCTTCTGCCAGTTTTAATTTGTTATTAGCACTTTTTGGGTATAGATTTCTGCCCATAATAAGTCAATAGACTACCGTAAATAGCAAAGAGCTCATTTGAAAAGCTAATTAACATTTAGAATAAACTGTATTTGTTGATTTTCATTATTCAGAGTTGTATGCGCTGTTGAAAGTGAATGATTTGTTTTAACGTATATATATATATATATATATATATATATATGTTTATCGTTCTTGCTCTTTCTTAACACTAAGTTTAAAAAGATTAGTTATCAACATAAATTGTTGGTGGTGTTTGTTCATTCAATTTTACAATAGCGGCATTTCAATTATCTCAACTTTTCATTTCACTTCTTTTTTATAAACTTACTAAATACCTACGATTTTGGTGGAAATATTTCTTCCCTTCTGCATTTTAAATGCGCAATTAATTTCCATATTATCAAAAGAGATGATCTGCCTGCGTGCCTGCTTTCGTGGCTTAAACGTCATTGGAAAATCAATGCTGTATTTTGAATGTGCGAATTATATACTGGAACGTGTACGGAAAGTGGAAATAAATAAAAATTGGTTAGAATTTAGTGAAATATTTAACCATCATCTATTCGTACTGATCCCTAGCTTGAAAATTGATGACGCATAGTTTGAGGGAAATGAGGCTACATAAACATCCACCACTTTGACAGCTTCATAAATTTACCCTAATCCATAGAAAAGCTCCTTTTTTCTTCATCTGATGGAATTATCTAAATAGGTTCAACAATCTTCCTCAACTTACTATTGATTTTTACTCACGAAATCTTTCCATTTATGCAGTCTTACAATTTCTTCACAAAGCACATGACTATTTTTCACATCTTTCAGCCCATTTTTGAACATTCTTGGAGATATCAATGACGTAAAACCCAACATTCAGGATATGGTGGCTCGTTGTGTCTCACAGTTGATTCAATCTCAGTGGACCAATATTCGTTCGGGTTGGACCAATATCTTCCTTGTACTTTACGTAGCAGCTGGATCCACTGAAGCCAATGTCATTGAGGTGACATTCAATTCCTGCGCCTTTGTGATTAACACGGTCTTTCAAAATAACTTCTTCCTTCTTGTGGATTCCTTCCCGGTATGTCATCATTCTTTCACTATCCTCCGTGATTATAGATTCTTTCTGTTCTTCCGGCCAAAATGTTAAGCTTATATATCCTTCCAACGCATTAGACACTCCACCAGCTATTAGTTTCACTTAATTACCGTGTGGAGAAGCAAGAGATTGTTCTTTAGGAGGGTTGTGTGCACAGATTCGAATTTGGATGTGGTGTGCGTGAGGGGGGGGGGTGAGGTCAATACGCTTTAAGGTAAAACATTGACACTGTTAACAAAGAAATTAGGTTTTTGTTTAACCATTGATAAGGATTCCCAACACATTTTGGGAGAGTCTCAGGCCTTTTCGATCGACCCATTTGACTAGGCATGGTCGAATTCGTTGAATGCAAAGAATTATTTTCACTCTGAAAAATTATTAACTTATTTGAAGTTTAGAGCAACACAACAAGCTGATAGTTATAAGCTTGGAATAACTAAAACCAATCCCAGCGTATGCAATGCTAAAAGTCGGTTGAGGGTCTGACTACGTCTGTTTGGTTAGCTCGATCGTTGGCTATAGAAAATCGTCCTATCTTGTAGTGTGTAAACAGAGATAGTTTTTTGCAGTTAGTGAATGGAGTTTGTCGATTAAAAAAGTTTCTTCACTACAATGCATGTGATCATTATGGCATCCCTAGAAGACCCCAGATAGAACACTTGCTTTATGGAGCACATTGTGTTCCAGTATCAAATGCTCATTTTGACAGATGATATCATGTCATATCTCAAAGGAGGTTCATAATTTTTTCCAATACTGAAAGTTCGGATACCGTATGTTGTACTTTAGTAAGTCCATTTATTTGCGAAATAGGGTTCAAATTCGAAAATGCAGGGACACAAATCTATGAACTCAACTTTACTCGTTTCCGTATTTCAGGTCTTTATAAAGGCTCTCTCTGAGTTCGCCTGCAATCTTCAATTTCCTGACACCTCAATGGAGGCTATACGCTTGATCCGGCTCTGTGCTCGAGTTGTTAGTGAGCGTGCCACGCAGTTTGCGAAGGAGGATACTGTCCCAGTAGTTAAGACTTCTTCTGATACTGCTCCTTCAGGCACAGTCGTTTCCTCGGAACAAGGGAAGGACGATGAAGATGATGCTGCCTGGAAGCGTGGGTGGATGCCAATTTTCTATGAACTATTCCGAGTTATTAATAAGTAAGTAATTATTTCATTTCTTATTTTTAGCTATTTAAAGCTTGTTGTCTTATGTTGCGAATAGCCACCAAAATATCAAGAATTACGTATGTGAGCTAGTAATAATTCCAAAGCCCCTTTGGGAAAAAATTTTTCAAAACTTCTTGGTTGACATTACTAAGGCTCTCTATGGTGCGAAATTTGAATTTTGGCAGCCCCTTTATTATTCCAACTTAAGCAGTGCGTCAATTTTTCTATTGTCTGAAGCAGTTCTAATGCCTTGGGTTAATCCATATAACTTTCCTTAATGTCCTTTTTATCGCTTCTGCGCTGCGTCGATTTTGTTTCAACCTCCTTGATGGATGTCAACTCTATTTTAGGGAGTAAAATTAAACCCTTTCTTTTCATCCTAGAACATTTTGGTTTATAAGCCTCTTCTTTATAAAATAAATACTCTCTCTGAGTTTATTATCATTTATTGGACTCGGAAACTGAATCTCTTTTGGGGAAGAACATTTTTTGTCTTGTTTTTTGCCTAGACCCATCTTTCATAAATTCCATTTGTTGCGAAATATATAGAGCTAGACATTGCCAGACGAGTAGTAATTAGTGCTAGATCATTTAGACATTGTTAACATCGTTCAGTTTATAACCATTTCTGGAAGAGCCTATCGTTTCCTACCATTCTAAATTCGCAGTTTGTCTCGTTGGGAGTTATTATTTAAAAGGGACCCTGTCGAAGTTCTTAGTTTCTGAATTTCCCAGCTAGAGCGAATCCGGACTTTGCCGAATCAACATTTCTTTTTAGATTATGGCCGACTCGTATTCACATTGTATTTGCTTCTAGCTAAAAATTTCATTATGTAGATTGGCTTGTTTATGAATTGAATATGTAGTGTGTCACATGTATTGCTTGTAAATCAAGGATCTGATAAAGTTCTTTACTATTAACATGGAACAGCTAATGTTGGTTTTCTGTCTGCATAGTTATCCAGTAGCATATTTTTTCGCCACTGTACATAGCTTTTGTAACATTTACCTTCCTTCCTCGCCCTTGCACAGCTGTAAACTGGATGTGCGAACTCGTGGCTTGACAGTATTCTTCGAGGTAATCAAGTCCTACGGTTCCAGTTTCGTCCTCTCCTGGTGGATTCAGATCTTCAAGCTCATTTTCTCCATCTTTGAGCATGGAAGGGATACAAGTTCTAGTGCTGCAGGAGTTCCAACAAATCAACGGCAGCAGTCTTCGGCTGAACATGCGGCTATAGAAAGGAATTATCGCCGACGTCTCTTCTCAGGTGATCAACTGGAAGCCTTCGGTATTACTTATCGCATCTTTACCAGTCCAACGGATAGAAGTGAATGGCTTAACACCACTTGCAATCATGCTCTCTACTCTGTAGTGGACATATTCTCCCAGTTCTTTGACAAAATTGCTGATGATTTGCTCGGTACGTGTATGCTAATAGATTGACGTGTCCCTATTTTAATTTAAATCTCATCTGTGCTGTCACAGAAGCCGATATTCTAGTCCAGAGTGACGATAAACTTTATTCATGTAAATCACTTTAAATAAACGTTCAAACTCGAGTTCATTGGCAGTATACTAGACGTAGGTAATATGGTTATTTTCTCAAGGGAAAATGTTATATTAAATTTTTTCATGTTAGTTCAAGAGCTCTTTCTTGATAGCAAGATATGTATTTCAAGTTTATTTTGCCATTTTTGCTACGTGTTTCGGCTCAACCATTGGACTTAGTGCTTCCAGGTCTTCGTTTCATATTATCCTTCATTTTCGTGCTCTTGGTGCATTTGGTACTTCAGAAGTCATTAGATCAATGCTCTCATTATTATGCACATCTAGGTGATATGGTCGGCCAACCGTATTTGCTAAATCTGTTCAACTAGAGTTGCGGTGGAATGGGAGTCTCATAAGAGTTGCTCCATAACAATCAAGTTGATGCTTTCCCTAATAGGTTCGGAAGGTATTAGCTTACTTGTGGTCCAGTGGAAATCGGAAAAATAACATTTCTTTTCTCCCTAAAAGGCAGGAAGCAATTTCAATAAATGGAATTGTCGATTTATGCAAACTAGTACTCTATGTAGTCAGAGCCCAAAGCCAGGTGGTAATGTATACTTCACTTTCAGTCCGATGGCACATTCATAATTATGCATTCCACATTGGCACTTAATTGCCCTCAAAGCTCTTATAGTTGAATGTCCTGACTAGAGTTAGAGTTTCGAGGTATTCACAGTAAAATATTCTCCGACTCTAACATTAACTTATCGGGCAAGTGTCTAAAAATTGCACTAGATAGTCTATAGACAGATCGATTTTTCGATTACACCGTGACGCTAAAATAAAAGTGCAAAGAACTTCCTTCTTGGGTTAAAAATGAATTGGAATTAATTTTTCAAAAGAAATGGATCCTAAAGAGACGTAGATGAAATCTTTCTCTCTAAACTCTCCTCAATTAACGAAGTTGAGGGTGTGCTTCGATGAGTAAAACCCGGGTCATTTTATTCACTAGGTGAATATATATCGCGTTTGCCTAACTATCTACTTATTACCTATTTAATCGTGCAACTGCACTTGTTTACTCATTTTGTCCTAGCAATTATCGGAGAGCTTTTAAGCCTGGGATTGTTTCAGAACTAGGCTCTTCTTTCACTGTCCATTATCTGGAGCAAATTTGAGATGCGAGTGTCGTCATTTTCGTATGATCCTCAAATGATCATCGGTCCTATCTAACAACCTGGCTTTGGAATTAGTTTTACTATTATTAGTAGTAATAATATCTTTTTCTATTATCTCCTGTGAAGCGCCATTATTCTAACCATTGACGGATTGAAATTTACAGAAGGAATCGAAATTTCTTGTGAAATGTTGGGATTTTGGTCGAATGGGCTTTGTTTTCTGATTGTCCATCATTTAGGCAATGAGTGGTAGTTCCTTTTCCGGGGCCCAAATCCTTGCCCTCTTGAGCACTGAACTTGTTGACGGGTCGATTAATTGGCGTGGTGGGTCTTACCTCTTCTATTAATTTTTTCTTAAAGGCCGATACATCAGTATTATCTGCAATTCGCAGTGATTACTAATTAATATTACTAAATTTTCTGCTCACTTTTGTTCTTAGCTGATCTTTATGTGCAACTGAAGTGGTGTTGCCTGCAAGACCACGAGCAGCTAGCTCGTTCGGGCACAAGTTGCCTGGAGACTATAGTACTTACAAATGGAACGAAATTCGATGCCAACAAGTGGACTATGACGGTAAATCTTCTTGTGGACCTATTCAAAACGACTGTTCCGCACGAATTGCTAACTTGGCGACCGGTAAGTTGGTGATTTTATTGTGCTTTCTTCTCTAAAATTGCCTCTGAATCGATATCACAGTTATTTAAATTCACCATTATTCCAAAAAGTATGTAATGGAATATTTAATGTAGCCCAAGTATAAATTAGTGGTGTTTTAAAAGCAATCATATTTTGACATTATCTATCTTCTCTTTTACTTCTGTTCCGAACCTCTCATTTAATATATGGACGATCGAATCATAAGATGGGAACAGATTAATTTCATAAGGCGTTTAATCGAATGAATCCGGCTTCTCTATTCATATTGCATGATAAAGATCCTCTTTCCTCTCTGAAATAGTTTTACAAAATTGTAATGAGAGATACCAATCAGTCTAATGTGAACGATTTCCTTCAGTTTTTTAAGAGCACCATCAAGAGTTTTCGCTTGAATGGAAGAGAGGAAGTAATTATTCTGAATTCTACGGATCCGATCTCCTTTTTCTCCCCCCCCCCCACACTCCCAAACCATTCAAATAAGCCAGGTCGGCGATAGTCTTTCTATTCAATTTATATTTTTGCTTCTCCAATATGGTAAGTGTTATCGATTAGACAATAATTTAATGTGCGCAATAAGCAAATAAAAATATACTTCGCTATGAACGTTATAAATAAAGAACAGTCATAATTGTCATTGAGTCACGCATCATTGAATTGTTACTAGTTATTGGTTTATGTTGGGGTACACATGTGCATTGCAATCTTTTTCCTATTTCAGGATCCAGCAGTATACGGTGTAACAGGCAATGAAGATGGGGTTAAACGTCGTCAATCCGCCCAAACACGTCTCTTTTTGCGTCTACTTGTCAATTGCATCGTGCAATACGAGCTCATCCAAACAGTGGACAACATTCTCTTTGTCCCCTCTCGTAGTCGTGAGGAGGACGATTTGATCTTACGTGAGACGCGTCGGTCTTCTGCTCAACTCAACTTGCCCCTCCTCAATGGAGCACCGACCCCTATAGCTGGCGCAGCAGTCCCTCTATCCCCTGTTTCAAATTCTAAGCAGGCTCATACGCCAGAGGAAAAGAGACTCATTGAGGCTGTGACAAAGGATCCTGTTGCTTCTCCACCTACTCCGTCAGTTGTTGAACCTATTCCACAAATGGACTTTGGAGGCAAGTATAGCTGGTTCTTGACTCATTCAGGGCTACTTTGTTGTTTAAATGAACCTTTCACTGTAATGTCACTGATCTCAAACTTGAGCCAGGTCAGGATGCATGAATAATGATAAAGGAAGTGAACATCAAGGTCTGAGACGAAAGTCCCTAACATTAGCGCATCTTGTTGTTTCTGTTAGATAATGGATTCGTCTTGTTATCTAGGTAAATCCAGTTCCACTTGTCAAATGGAACTAGATTTAGTTAAAGTAAGTAGACTGGGTTAGTTTTAAATTTCTGTACATCGGTTTTAACTGAGCTATTTATGAGCCCAGAGGTGGTCTTCTGATTGGCAGGCATTTTGCAAAATGACCTGACTGGCTGATCCGCATCCTTTATTTGTGCACGAAAGCGGATATTGGTTTTCTTTCTAGTCACGTGTGTGATTTCTAATTTCTTCAGTAATGCTAGACGTTTAATGGCAATAGTCGATTCATTCTTCTATTTCTATAAAATTCAATAGCGATTAGGTTATACGCAATGATTATCATTTGATCGGTTTTAGCAGATCCGAGCACTTTCAAATGTGTGTTTCGTCCACTCTAACTGGAACCTCTTCTCCAATACCTTCCAATTATGCTTCAGAAATGAAATAAAAAGACAGTTTGCTTCATCTTTGCTAACGGAATAAGTGGCCGTGTATTCATGTCGTTTTCGAATAGGGTTGCAGAAAAATTGTGATGCCGAAAATCCTCTACATCAAGATGGGAAAAGAGAAGGCTATCTCAGATCCAATGAGTATTACTTTACTGTTGCAGTAGGAAGCTGTCTTAGACTAAGTCAATAACTTTGGCTGAAACTGGTCTGAACGGAATTATGAGTTGATTTGGGTCACAGCGTCTATTCTTTTCCAAATCAACTTTTAAAACGTGCTCTATCAGCACGTAACTGGTCTCCTAGTGTGTCTGATCTCTAATTACAGAAGGTGTTTTAATTTAGCAAAAAGGTTTTCGATAGTGCTTTTTAGTAAACGGAAGTCATGCACAATTTTTTAACTTACCCTAAATTTACATGTTATTACTTATGTATGTACTATTTCTAAACCCCCTAGCTGATCAAGTAAAATTTTGTTTGCATTATCTTAAAGAACCAGAGGAGCTGGTAAATGGTTCGTTGCCACTGCACAAAAAGGCTACAATTCCATACGTTTCCTACGAGAATCGTCTTACACTTGTCCAGTGTCTCATGGAATCACACCGATTCGCCAAGCTCTTCAATTCAAATATTGAACAACGCAACATTCTCTGGGAGGCCGGTTTCAAGGCAAAGGCCAAGCCGAACTTACTTAAGCAGGAAACCCATAGTCTTTCCACAGCACTTCGAATCCTCTTTATACTCAGCGAAGAGGATCGTGATCATCAGAAAGAGGCAAGTTTGAGATTCGAACACGTACTGGTCGCGGCTCATTTCAGTAGACTAATTTGGAACATTTTTTTACTACAGATAACAGAGATGCTGCAGACTATAATAATGGAGGCAATTGTCTATTATCGTAGTCTGCCAGTGGATGGCCATAGACAAGCATGGGATAGCTGTATACTCCTCACCTTAACGCGACTAGTACATCTCGCCCCGGATACCAGGTTCGCTGCCATAGCGACGCCCCTCTACACAACTGTCTGTGATCTGGTCGGCCTGCCTAATCTGTCCCCTGAAATTTCTGTCCTCCTGCGCGCATTCCTTCTACGGGCGAATAGTAGGTTAGCTGCAGCCCAGTAGCTAAGATCACAGAATGATTCCATTCCTAATCTCCCTTCTCCTCCATTTTTGACCCTCGACCTCGCTCTATCTGTCCTTTTCCTATGGCTGTGTTTGCATTCCTTTCTCCTCTGAGATTTGTAGCCTTACGTCTTATCCCTCTCCTTATATATGCCTTACTGTCAGTGGCATGGATTCATTGATTTATGATCAAAGTTCGCCTCATTCTTACCTTTTTTCTCACCCTGTTTACCTGTGTGGTTTCTTTCTCTTCTTCTCAATAACTTAGCTGTGAACATTACCAAAATAAACTGTCGATATGAATCCTGAGTTTATTGCCATTTTTTCTTATTGAATAGGGGCTGAAAATGGTGTATGTCAAAGTAAAAAATGGGTGAATATTTGAGGTCTTATATGAATAACTTCATAATTTCTTCAGCTCAGAGGTGATTAATTTAAAAAGGCGGAAATCTAAAAATCTAGGTAATATTTCCTATTAGTTGTTATTGAGATAATTTGGTGAGCCAAAAGCTAAATTGGCTGAACCACGGAGTTCCATGAGCGCTCGAACGGACGGCCGTCAAGTGCGGTGTGTTGATCGCGTTAGAGAGCATGTGCGTCGTTAGTGCAGTCATCAAATAGTCAATGTAGTACAACCACAATAAAGGCTATTCACACCATTCTCGCTGTTTCCTCAATATTGTTGAGCTTGTTTAGCTAATTTTGGGGACCATTTTATAGTTGGAGATTTAGCAAACTTTCACTGCAGCACTATTTACACAATTGTCAGATTATTACACTGGACTTTACCATAATCTCTCAATAGGTCCTTAGCCTTTACCTGACACCACCAAAGCCCACTACAGCGGCTTTCATCTATTTGAGACGCGTGGGTGCTTTTGGGTGCATTTTCCAAAAAAATAGCTAGGGCGTTAAAAGTTAAAGCTTTATTGAGAACAGACAGAATTGCTGGGGAAAAGTGGATTGCAAGGGACAATTAGCATATTTACTTAGCTGTGTATGCAGGGTGAATTTCTGGGACAATGACGAATCGGGGCGTGTAATTTGAGATAGGAAAACAAGGGCACTCCTAATCCTTTGTGAAAAATTCAATAAAGAGTGTGAGTCGGACCTTCATATGGGCGATATTTTCAGTGTACTACAGAAAGCCTGCCCATTTCGATTGTCCGAGTTGGAGAGGAGTGAAATTGTTTGTTGGCGCCTTAATTGGGTATGAATGGGAATATTTTTTCATGGGAAAAGCTTTTACCTCGGAGATGTGAGAAATCAACATCAATGACTTGTCAAGTATTCAGTTTGTGTTTGTATTGTGAGGCCTGTAAATCTCATTGTTCGTATTGATGACTATTAATCAATTATAATGTTAAATCCATTCTCTACCGCATGTGATCAATCTGAATGATGAAATCATATCTAGCTTATATTCATATCATTCAAGTATTTATTTTTGTATTTAATAGGCTAAACTTCCCTAGAGTCAACTTGGAATGAACTTTGGCATGAGTCCACGAAGTTAACTCAATGTAGTGCAAACAGGACATCTCATAATCATATCGTAATTTAAGAAACTCATTAAGAGTTAATTAAAAAATCTTTATTGCAAATATAAGGGCTATAATGGTAAAATAACTATAAACCATTAAAACAACAAAGCGTTGAGGGAAACTAACAGAATTCCTCGACATAAGTCAATAAGTCATATTTGTGAGATATAGCTCTCAGTTTTGTCAACATAAAATAGTAAGATTATCCTTGATCTAATGATAATGCCATGATTAAATAAAAAATATTAGAATAACTGAGAAACTAACGGGAATAATAAGATTACTGTCTAAGAAATTCCATCTTCTGCTATTACAACCACTCCCAACAAGCTATACATTCTATGACATGCTCAAAATAGGCCCAATTTTAGCAGATAATAACTCTACTATTCATTCAACATGTTATAGATGTGATGGTGACACACCAGTCACTAGTCACAGGCTAATTGTGCTTAAGAATGAATTCTGTTACTTAACTTGGTCTTTTCATGGCTGAGATAGATGGAAGTAGACTCAGCACTGTCTTATCTCACTGGAGGTGGCACCGATGCGAATATGACTTTTCCAAACTCTTGTATATAAAAAAATGAACTAGCACTCACGACAGTTTAAAGTAAGTACAGAATAGACTGTTGTCAATGGCCAATAAAGACGGTATATATCAATTGGTCAAAAACCAACTCTCAGAGTCAAATATATAGCATAACGGTGAAAAGTGGAGTAAGGTACCTTGATGAAGCATGCGACAGAGATCTATCCGCTTTTCATGAGACATTTAATGAATCAAATTTTGGCGAACCTGTTTTCGCACATATAAAGATTAGTCATTGCTTCAATGAAAAAATATGAAATATTGTTAAGAAAGTAATTATTTTGGATATCGTATTAGGCAAGCTGTACCTTCATACTTGTAATACAAATGTGTTCTCATAAACGTCCCCCTTTTACAAATGAGTGTGAGTGTGCAAGGAGAGCGTCAATATACTCTTAAGTGTAAAAAGCGATTAAACGTGAAATATTTATGAACCAAATTTAGAAGAGTACCTTAGTTTTTACAAGAACTTTCTCTAAACGGATTCAAGAGAGAGAGAGAAATTGGAAAACAATTCTAGTGATTAGAATAGCTAATGGTCTTGGAGAGTAAGCAATTTAAACCCTGACACAATGCACTTGATAATGGAAAGCAGGTATATTTAAAATCATTGTACTTACTAGCCATAAGCAAAAATAAGGAGGAACTTATACATTCTTTCAGCTCATATGGTAATCTAATGCAATGTATTGCTAAAAATTCAAAATCGCTTGCAACAAATGATCTGAGCTTTCCGATGTGACACTATCGATTTCTAATAAAGTAACATTATTATCACTTTCTGCTATGAAAGAATGCAAGTATAATAAGTGGGTGTTTTGAATTTTAGCATTGAAATCAAGCTACTTTTCGGCAAAAATTCTGAATAAAATTGTTATTTTCAGAGTTTGATCTGCGTTAATGATTTTGAACCATGTGATAATTTATGATTTACTTTAATCCAAAACGGCAAAAATATTTTCATTTCACAGTATCTATGATCATACTTAGTAGATTAAATAACCCATTAACAAGTGACATTATAATGTTTGAAATAAGACTTGGTTTTATCCAAGGCGAAATAAAAAATAGGGAAACTTCAGTTGCGGATATGTGAAAGCAATTCGTTTTTTAATAAATTCGACGCGAAAATTATAGGTTTTAAAAATATTTAGGATGGTCATTTGTAACAATAATATATTAAACATTCAAACACGAAGAATAGTCGAAGATAAGCCTCCCAAGCTTTACTAAGATCTAATAAGCTAAGTTAATGTTCCAACATATATTAATGAATAAATTATGCAAAGCCAAAAGTTGTGTTTGACAATCAAGAAATTATAAAAATCGAGATAATAATGAGAAGAATTTTGCGCGATTTATCTGTAGCACGTTTACTTCATTACAATATAATGGCTCAATACGAGATGCCCGTGATAATAAAAGCTTTGGGAAACGATTCGGTCAGATTGGCGCTTAAACGACATCTTTTAAGATTGATTGACAACAATCAAGTCGTGTTCGATGTTAAAAATCTTGGTCTCAGACGTTTGCCTCAAGCCTACCGAGTGGCTGGTGAAAAGCAATATGAAGGTCACTATTTTCTTATCAACTTTGATGGACCGCCCGATGGTCTCAGACTGGCTAAAGTAATACATTTCTTTTCACTACTTCATATGTTTTAGTTGTTGGCATACAAAGACAGTGAAATAATCAAGTGCCACTACTGCCGTATCGATGACGGCTGGCGCCCACCATGCAAAGCTCCCAACGCTCCTGCCTGTGAATTTGGTGAAATCCGGAATCCAAACTACGAGAAGACAAACAAGACAAAACATGGCTTCCGTGCATTTTAATGATTGTGATATTTTTTGTATATTAGATTTTACTATCGAGAATTTTCCATTTAATATATGACTAAGTACGCAACAAGCCCATAGCCTAACTCAATTCAATTCCCTTCAGTAATTATTATTATATCAAATGGCAGGCGTCTTGATGGTTATCATTAGCTCTTTAGTTGACTTTAGGCTTCACAGAGAGGAAGGAACCTTTAGTTGACTTTAGGCTTCACAGAGAGGAAGGTACATCAAATTGATAAGTCGAGATAGGATGGGGAACAGAAGAGTGTTTCGAAGATTTAAGAGACAGACACAAAGGTAGAAAAAAGGTGAGGTAAGTACTATGGAAGTAGTCGAATATGACATATAGTGAGGCGGTGGTAGTTTTAAGTGAGAAGTCAACTGCCAGTTAATAGACTTTTGCCGTATGAGTATACGTTGCCCAGGGTGCACCACGTTTGTTTGCCGTATGAGTATACGTTGCCCAGGGTGCACCACGTGATAGACTTTTGCCGTATGAGTATACGTTGCCCAGGGTGCACCACGTGGTAAGTCTATCGCACACCCCTCCATTCAGTAATTGATTAAGGTAAAACGGAACTCCTCCGTGGTAACTTGCCTGCATTTACAGCAATCCAAATCATCTGCGAAATGTACTTAAGTGTGAAATTCAGATCCAGTTTCGTCTAGACATTTTCATTAGCTACCCAATCCTAGCCTTTTGCTAATCTGAGGGCTATAACTAACGAATCGTTCAAAAAGTTGTAAGAGACCGGTTTGCACTGACAATTGCATAATTCAATTTCCTCGAAACGTAGCAATATACAGATTTTACAAAACTGTCAGATAAACTGTTTATTTCCATGAGGGTTTGGCCTTCACTTGTTTGACTGCCTTTTTCCTCGCAAGTTGATAGGGTTGGAGCTTGGCCTTCTTCGTCTTTTCAGGCAACTTTAGGATATCGAAATCTGCATCCACTTCCTCAGCGGCGGGTTTCTTTCCCTTTTTCACTACTGACTTTTTGTCATTTTTCTTGACATCTTTTGCACCTTCATCTCTATTTTCTAAACGACGTCTCTTAGCCGGTTGGGTAACTTCATTTGAGACTTCCTCTTTGTCCCCCAAAGCTTTGCGTTTACGATTAACATCTTCAGCCTCCTTTACAAATAAGGATTGCTCCATTTCCTCTTGATCAGTAGGCTCTGGGGTGGACTAAGAAGAGAATGCAAGTACGTCAATTTCAAAGATCGAATAACGTAATCACATTTATAATGAAAACTTACCTTAATTACACCATCGTTTGGAATGGTTTCATCTATCTTTTTAGCACATGTCTTGGACTTAGGCTGGGGTAAAAAACAGGTTAGATTTGTTATAGACTTGAGAAATGACGAGTGGTAATGGAACTTACCTTGATCTCAAAGTTTACAAAGATTGGTATTCCTCTGTACAGTGTACCATGGCGACTGAGGAAAGCTTTCAAGGCCTCAGCTCGATTACGATATCTTAGAATACAGAATCTAGAAAAGATGCGAAAATATATCATGGCTGCTCAAACATGATATTTATTTTCAATACGAAAATACAAAAAATTAACTAAGAAAATATTTAGATTACGATTATTTCCGAACTAGAAATCTTTCCAGACATTAGTGGACCCAGTGGGGTGACCAATTGCGCTTTCATATGTGGCTACTAAGGGCAAATTGCAACTGCAATTTACTACTAGGGGTTCAAACATGCTAATTATCCGTAAAGTGAGAGAATTGAAAAAAAATTGCTTCACTAGATTCAAGGCGGACTGGTAGCATCGTAAGCATGATAGCAGAAGACCAGATAATCATAAAAAGGTTTCTAAACACATTTGGGTAGATTAGCTTTATATGAATCAAATGTACATATAAGTCTGGCACATAAAGTAACTTGCGAAAAGACTGAATATTACAAAACCCTATTAAATGGCGCTTTGCAATACTGACATAAGAGTAAAAGGAATTCTAACAAATATTAGACAGTAAAGAAGCGACGCAGTCGTCCAATAAGCCGCGACTAATTATCAATGCTCATCGATGCACAACAGTAATTGGATGGCCGACTACACTAAGCCACTAAGGTCAATAAAAGGCTTAGAAATCAAAATGGATAAACAAAAAATTTGTGACCACTAACATACAAGACAAAGATGCCACTCACCCTTTACAATTGCCATCTGGCATATTCATAAAATTAATCTTATCGGCAGTTCGGAAGATTTGAGCAAGATCTGAACGGTCAGCAAAGCGCGGTAGATTAGAAATAAAGAGGCTAGACAAATCAAAATCCTCAAGTGTACGTTGTTCCAAAGATTTCCAATTGTTAACGTCCGATGGACTATTACTACAGACAGCTGCATTGATTGGCCTATCGTCGAAAATTTTCCCATTCAGATCGTTCGCAATGGTTTTCGCCTCAAGAGCAGTCTTAAATTCAACAAATGCATATCTGGAAATAGACAAGAAATAAGTCATTCAATCGAAGTAATAAATACTTAATTTTAAAAATCCACTTGCCTGCAGTTTTTCTTGGAAGGAATACGGACAGCAATAGAAGTGGGGCATAAAGTTTGAAGCAATAGAGGGGAACATTTTTTTGATACTGGCTTTATTCGCACTGTTTGGGAATTCTTTTCACCTATAAATAATAGAAAAGTGTAAGAATGTCTTTTCAAGCGTTGAAAGTAATTGTAACTAAAGCGAAACAAAATTACTTATTCGTCTTTTAATTTCGGCCAATAATTGTTCACCCTCCAGGGTTTTGTCGTGAGCATTCTCTGGAAAAACGATCGAACTAGGTAGTCTAGGTTCCTAAAAGGTAAAAATTGTTAGATTGAGAAAAATCTAAATTAAAATGAATTCGCAGAAATCAGTACTAGATTTGCTTTCGATGGTTTCGTAGAACCAAGGGCTTTCTTGGCTTCACGAGCAGCTTTTCTTTTCTGATTGCGTATTGAAGCTTTAGAAGGTTTCTAAAATTTGTAAGTGAATTAAAGTAAATAAAAATGTTCGATACAGTAATACTGATATTTAATAAAGCCATGTTAAATCATACCTTCCCTGGTTCTGTTTTAGAAACTTCTTGCACATCCATAAGTCTCATTTCGATATCAGCCGACATAGTCTAAAGCAAATTGAGATTTCAGTCAATTAACAAAAGAACTGTTTTATAAACATTTAGTCAAAAAGTGATGGTGAAAAAAGTTATAAAAAGATGGAATGACAAATAAGCTGGAATTTGCAAAAATAGGGAACCAAATGCACACACGTGAGTGTCACAAAAACTGGTCTAAACAAATTGCGAGCTCGAGAAGTATGTTCATTAAAACAATGAATTTAAAATATTAATTATTCCAGTTTTTGATATTTAAAATGCCTTAATTTTTTATATTTTTTCTAATTGTCAAATTTTATTCATTTTACTAGATAACTCTCATTTATTGCTTTTAGCTTTCTGCGGTCATTTTAAACCCAGCGGTTTGTACTATTTTGCAATAATGAAAGCTGGTGATGTATGTTCTATTATTAAATATTTTAGCATTTAGCTTCCAATTTATGGAGGTTTAGTAGATGAGAAGAAGGAATATGTTCTCGTCCCTAAACCAGATTCGAAAATTCGTTCTTATTTATACAGCATTATTACCCCCACTCGCCAATCCATTGTCGATTGGTATGGAACAGCGGAGGTAAACCTTTTAAAAAAGTTAATCTTCTTAGTCAAATTCACAAAAATCTGTGAAATTCGTGGTTGAAAAATCAATGAGTTTGTTAATCTGTTTTTGATTAATCAACTTCTCCAGGCGTTTATAAACACATTGAAGATGATCCTGTAATCCTCGCAAGGGGTGGCTTCATTACTGTTTGTGGTTTGGGCGGTATTGTACTCGGTAGTAAAGGTATCTCACTTTCTTTCTTTTGTCTCATAATTAGGTGGTGTTTTGCGCCAAATTGCTTACGGTTGCCTCGGGGCCGGTGGTGGAACTGTGATGTGTTATCCTAATTGTTCCCTCAAAGCAATAAATTATGCTTGGGATGCAGGCACTGGGAAGTTGTTAGAATCTACAGAGATGGTCAAGCGAAAGTTTAAAGGTACTTTAAAGGTCCTTATCCATTTTTCTTAGTTTCATAAACATTCTAGTCCTTACCTTACACCCTTTTCATTTTAGAGTAAATCGTGGCAGTTGTGATAAATTTACCATTTCTCATACAGGGAGTTTTTTTCAACTGTCCAAATTGTATTTCTTTGTTACATCCATATTTATGCCTTTTAAAATGGAATTAGTGGAATTGGTTTTGTACTTCGTAGAACTCGGTAGTAATTATATTGTAGATTCTCTTTATGAAGTATTTGGCTTTTGAATACCTAAATTTTCGCGAACTTTATCTTTATTATTATACTTTAGGAAGGTCTTTTAAATCGGTTATCTTGATAGAGAAACTGTTGACAACTCTAGCACAGTGTTATCCTGCCGCTAGGTATTCGTAATCCGCTGCCTCTTTTTATTGGTTTTAATCCTTCATATCTTTCTGACACTATAGCATATTTTGTAATTGTTATGTGAATTCTCGTGATAGTTTACGCGTTTTTTATCATGAATTTCAATGACTAGTATGGTCAATACTCATGGAATTTTAAGGGTTAAGAAATTCGCATTCTCCAAGTGGACCTTTAACAAAATTTGATAGGCTTATTGGAATTGTGCAAATTTCCGTCGAATTGCTTCACTTGACCTAAGTCCAATGTTATCATAATGCGATGTACGGTGCATATTGGTGGGAGTACGTGACATTAAAGCCTCGTCAGTATATTTTAGAAGGTTGGCTTTGAAGAACGGGAAGTCTCCTTTAACCGTAATAAGCTTTCTTGAATTTAGAGTTGCGGGAGCAGGGTGGGATGGAGAACTTATATTGGTTATTATAAAAAGTACTTAGAGTAGAGGGTAACTAGGGATTGAGAGTAGCTATTGTGTGTTTGCTTTAGTCATCAGGAGTTCAATTACCGAAGATATGGAAATAGAATTGGAGACCTCGTACACGCAAGCTAAAAGCATGAGATAGTCCATATTTCTATTGTAAGCTTTATTTTCGCACAAAATATTTATTTCAAATGGCGGACTTTATGACACTTATCATTAGCCTTTAGCTGACTTCGGACTTCACAGAAGGGAGGAACATCAAAGTGATCAAAAGTGAGGAGGGGGAACAGAAGAGTGATTTAAAGATGCAAAAGAGACAGACAGACACAAAGGCAGAGAAAAGGTAAGATTAGTACGGTGGAAGTGGTCAAATATGCATACATCTGGGTGGTGGTAGTTTGAAGTCATTAGTCAACTGCCGGTTTATAGATTTTTTGCCGTATGAGAATACGTTGCCCAGGTTGCACCACGTGGAGGCAAGTCTATCGGACACCCCTCGCACATAATATAGAATTTGCTAGGTTGTTCTTCACTTACGAAAAGCGCATTTCTCATTAGCACATCGAATTAGGTTGATAATTTTTGTATCTCGCAAATTTGAAAAGTGAAATGGATTGCTACACTAATTACATGTCTGTAAAGACTCTAGAACTAGCTAAGCTACCACCACCGCATCTTAACTACAGTCTGAGCGAATGAGACTACTTGTCCGGCAGTGAATGTGTCGTGTGTCCCACAAAGGTAACCAACTCAACCCCCCCCCCCTTCCTGACAGAGCAGATATGTGTAAAGTTATGTTTCGTCGTGATTATTGTTAGGTACATGTCTTCTGGAAAATTTTACACAGTTTGTGATCAATTTACAATTTTCGGTTATTTAATGAAGACTTCAAGACATGATCCTTGTTGCTAACAGTCCCAACCAATTATAAGACTGTTTTTTCGTTTGTGCTTTGTGAGCCTTTTGAATGATTTTACAACCAGATTCCAGTTTAATTTGACAACATAAATCCACGCCCAATTGCAAAGGTTCATTTATTAATGCGCATATGGAATGCATAATGTATAAAAGAAACTTAGGAGCAAAATTCTCATTTTCTGAACTGATTGAAAAATACACTATATTGGGCTATAAATGGCACATGACAATGAATGGACCTTTGCATTCTAATCTTCATTGATTATATTACAGTTACTGAATCAGAAATAGAAAGAACTGAAATTAGGCAACATTAGCTGCGTGTAAATACTAGGTAACAAGTTTTGAAAAAGTCAAAAATAAATTTCAAATTTATTAACTGAAATTAAGTAACTTGAAGTATTTAAGCTTTTTACGGTAGCTGGACTCAATGCTGAAAAAAATTGACGCGAGATAAGAAAGGAATATATATAATGCCTGACAAATAAGATAATAATAATTTATTTTAGTTTAAATTAAAAATAATTATTAAAAAATAAAATAATGTTATGTTAAGCCCATATTCGATCTAAGCTACAAATCATATTTTAATAATCTATATACACTCTGCTCTAATTGAAATTCAGTTTCTAGGTTAATTTACTTCTACCATTGGCCATGAGTGAATTTAAAGGCGAACCTTTGCAAGTTATTACTACAACAGGTACTGACAAGGGGAATTCCACTGAGCTTGTTGAAAGTGCTCTTTCGAGAATTCTACTAGACAAGCGCGTGAAAAATAAGAAAGTCGTTGTGGTTTCCGTTGTGGGCACTTTTCGCAAGGGGAAATCGTTCCTCCTTGATTTCTTCTTACGTTATATGTATTCTAATGATAAATCCAATTGGCTTGGTGATCCGAACGAACCACTAACTGGGTTTCATTGGCGTGGAGGTGCTGATAGGGACACCACTGGAATTTACATGTGGAGTGAACCATTTCTTATTACTATTCCCTCCGGAGAAGAGGTAGCGGTTATTTTCCTCGATACACAAGGGTCATTTGATTGCCGTGCTAATATGAAACAATCCGCTACCATTTTTGCCTTGAGCACAATGCTGAGCAGCAAGGAAATATTTAATATTAAGGATAATTTACAAGAGGATTACTTGCAGCACCTACAATTTTTTACGGAGTATGGTAGGATTGCTCTTGAATCCGGATATGCTCAAACCCCCTTCCAGGTATTTCCCTTAAAACTACTATCATTTTCCTATTTTAAAAATTATTTTTGCTTTATTTGCTTCCAAATTTCAGCATCTTGAGTTCTTAATTCGGGATTGGGCTTTTGCTTACGAGTATCCTTTTGGCAGGAAAGGAGGAATGGATCTCCTTAATAAACGTCTCGAAGTAAGTTCTCCTTTTTAAATTTTTGATTGAAATCTTTTCCAAGCTTAAATATGCTGTTTTGATCGAATGAATTGAATATGATATTTTCTGTTAAGTAGATGTGTATTGATGTTATTAAGTGAACTCTTTGCGACACCTTTTATATCACTTCTTATGTTCAAATTTTACCGTAATTTTCAATTTTTTGAGAAGTCGATTTTTGAAGATTTATCTACCATGAATAAATTCCCACTTTGGCTGATAATACATCATTTAATAATTATTTATTGCCAACCTCTCTTCTCTTTCCATGCTTTATGTTCCTGTTCTTCCCCTTTTATGATATCCTCCCCCCCCCCCCCCAGTACGGCATATTCTGAATGATTCGAGAATATCTGCAGTTAAAGTTGTTTTGACCTCACCTACTTCAATCTTGTTGATTTAGGGTACTAAGCAAATGAGTAAGCGTGGTTAAATCCCATAATGTTGCCCTGGCGACGTTAAGTGTTTGAAATATTTTTCTTGAAAGGGCCTGGAGCTATTAATACCCAACCTTGCTTTTGCTGTACTGTTTTGTTGGTATTAGCCGATTCGCAATTATTTTGGTCTTTTAGGGTACCAGTCCCAGATTTTTGTACATTAAGGAATTCCCTTTATCGTGTTGTTTTCAAATACGAGTACAAAATTTACTATTAGGTTGGCAACTAAGTCGTTGCCGATTTCAAATAAGAAGGCAAATTCGGAATTTTTGTCTAAAAATATAACTTTATTCAATTAGATATTGGCCGCTCTTGTCGATGACCTTTTCCCATCGTTCTGGCAGAGTAAAAATTCCCCGTTCGTAAAATGTTTGGTCTTTGCTATTAAAAAACTGAATTAGGTGTGATCCGACATCATCCGCGTTGTTAAAAATTTTACCATTTAAAGAGTTTTGCATGGAACGAAACAAGTGGTAATCCGAAGGCGCAAGGTCAGGGCTATATGGTGGGTGTGACAAAACAAAATAAAACATCCCAACCCAGTTGCAATAATTTTTGCCGAGTAACCAAAGATGTGTAGGGCCTTGCGTTATCATGATGGAAAACAACACCCTTCCGATTTGATAATGCCGGCCGCTTATCTTCAATTGCATCCTTCTTTCAGTTTTTCGAGTTGTTCAACATACACATTTGAATTTATCGTTTGGTTCTGCGGCATGAGTTCAAAATACAAAATTCCTTTGTGATCCCACCAGACTCACAGCATAATCTTTTTTTGGTGAATCTCTGCTTTTGATACTGTTTGGGCTGGTTGATCTTGCTTCACGCATGATCTCTTGCGAGTAACATTGTTATAAACTATCCACTTTTCGTCGCCAGTAACTAGGTTCTTCACAAATGGATCATTCTCATTGCGTTTCAGTAGCGGCGAATCACAGATGCTAATCCGTTGCGTCAAATGAATTTCCTTTAACTGGTGAGGGATCCAAAAATCAAGTTTCTTGACATAACCAAGGGTTTTTAATTTTTTTCAATGCATGTATGCGACACATTGAGCTTCTCTGCAATACCTCGTGTTGTGCTGTGACGATTTGAATCGATAATGGCCTTGATATGGGTTTCATCCACTTCGACTGGGCGGCCAGACCGTTGTGAATTTTTCAGTGAAAAATCACCGGAACGAAATCTTTCAAACCAATTTCGACACTGCCTTTCTTCCTCACGGCTTCATCTCCATATACGGCACATAACTTCTTTTGCGCTTGCGATGCGTTCTTGCCTTCTCGGAAGTAATACAATAAAATGTGTCGGAAGTGCTCGTCCTGTTCTTTCATTTTTAAATTGGGATAAAAACAAAACTAAAGAACTGAACAAAAAAATTTTTTACTAATTAACCTAGAAAAAAATATAGGTTAGATGCTCTGGCCACGTTAACAGAACAAAAGAAAGTATAGAGTGAATATGTCAACAAAAACGGCAATGACTCCAAAAAGGTGATTTCGATGACAGAAAAATTGTGCTTTTCTTATATATCCATTTTTAGCATTAATTCCTCTTTGTGTTTAATAGGATATTCATTTTGTGTTTGACGACATCGTTATGAATTCAATAGTACCATTTTTAGTATATGTATGGGCGAAAAAAATAAATTTTGGGAGTGAATTTTGGAAGCTATTATCTTTTGATTCTACACATTGTGCAGCTGTTTTTATGAGAAATGCGTTTTCTTTAAACTCTCCTTTTCATCAAAAATACTCATTACATTTGTCCAATCTCATGACTTATGACTTAACTGATATATACACACAGTAGATGCGCTCCACCGAGGCAAAAATGAATCTACATGTATACCTACCCATTTTTCTTCTACACTTTAGGTCGATGATGATACTCCCAAGGAGAACGTTCTTCTGCGATCCCACATCAAATCCTGTTTCGCTGACCTCCAGTGCTATTTGATGCCGCATCCGGGTCTCACTGTAGCCGGCAGTCCCACGTTCAATGGACGCCTTGCTGATATTGATACCAATTTTATTGATCAGCTACGAGACTATGTTCCAAGTATACTTTCGCCCGAGTCTCTCACCGTGAAAAGTATTAACGGGCAGCCTGTCACTTGTGGGGAACTCATGGAATTCTTTCGCGCCTACATGAAAATTTTCCAAAGTGATGAACTACCCCAACCCGTGTCCATGTATGAAGCAACGGCCGAAGTTAATAATCTGAATGCTTGCAATAGGAGTCGGAATCTCTATGTGCAGGAGATGAATGAGGTGAGTGGCGTAGGTATTAAACGCATGACCTCATTTGATCCAGCTAAACTCTGCTATTCTAACAGTACCATTACTACCGTGATTGGTGAAATGGGCGGTCGAATATATATATATATATATATATATATATATATATATTGTTGATAGGGCTAGCGAGTCTTCATCTAAACTTCTGTTTCGCCTGACATAAAGTTAAAGATTGGAATAAATTTCATCTGTACTACAGACCGGGAGTATTTTCCTTTGGAATCAACAGATCTCCCCGTGTTTAAGTTGAGACGTATTCTTTTTCAGTAGAAATACTTTCATTTCACTCAGTTCTCATTACGAGGTCATTAGGATGTTTGAGTTTTGTTGAGCAACTGCGCAATTGCCCATTGGCTATACTTATAGTTGATCGATGATGACAGTGGTCGAGCGTAAACATCTGAAAACATGCATGCATGAAGCATTAGAATCGGTTGAAACGATTGTTGCGAATGTTTTTGTATCCATATATGAAAACTTTCGTAGCTCTAATCTTTTCGTATAGCAATGAATGATAAATGATTTTTTTACCTTTGGCTGCACATTTCCTTACTGTGTTAAGATTTCAGCCAATGACATCTTTTCCTTTCATTGCACTTTCTGTAGGATATAAACATGTCTGGTGCACCTTAAGAAAATTACTAATATATACAGGTATTTTTGATGTTATTGTCCAATTCTTATGTCTTTTATTGCGCTTGGTTGGTCGACAGATGGTATTTCAATGGATGTGGATTTATTGCTCCTAGCAGGTGAGAAATTTTGTAGTTTTTATCATCTCATAAAATAAATAAGATGTGAAGATTGAGTTTCATAATGGTTGAAATGGGTTTTGGTTATTAGATTGTGTATTACTTCTTCATTACCTCTCATTGTATTTCAGTAATGCTCACTTTTTGTTGTTTTCAAGATAAATTGAGTTTGACTTACAGATTGGCTTTACTGTGGTTTGTGTCCTTAACATTTCTATTTATGAATTTAATTGAGTACATATAACTTTAGGTATGCGGACCTCGTAAAGCGTATGTGTCAAACAAGGTGGTTGATGATGCTCATCAACGTTGTCAGGAGAAAGCCTTGAAGGAGTTCAGGCGGTCTCCTAAAATGGGTGGAGAAGATCTAGCCGAAGGCTACGAAAAGAAGCTGATTCAGGAGATTGAGGAACTCTACATGAACTACAAGATGTCCAATCAAAATAAGAACACTGTTGAGGTGAGTGGTATCTTACTGTGTACTTATTTGTACAATGTCGACCTAGTTTTGAACCTGCACGTCAACTTAACAGATTTAGAGCTTTAATTCGGTCGACTAGGTTGGTTGCGTTTGTTGTACAAAAGCTTCTATGGTATGATTATGTAGATTTATTTTGTCAAAATTTGCGTACAATTATAGTAATGTTGTTTTCTCAGTAAATTTCTCTGGGAAAATTGAATTGACTTGACGAAGGTGTCTTCAACCAGAGTAAGCTGGTCTCCCCAAAAATGTTATAGAGCAGACTGCTTTGACTGCTAACAGACGAAAATCAGGGCGTAAGGAATTATGACTTTTCTAAATTGTAGGGTACAACAGCAGTTGGAATGCGAGTATGACAGTGTGTGTGTGAGAGGGAGAGAGAGAGAGAGGAGTGTAGATCATGAGAAAGAGCTAGCGACGAACGAAACTGATGAACGTAGGTTTAGTGAAATTGCTGCGATTTTGCACTTTGTGTCTTAAAGCTCGCGTGCGGGGGAAAACCCTGCCGAAATGACTGATTCATCACAATCCCCAAACGGGTAACAATCGGTAGTTGCCAACCTACAACTTCATTTCGTCACGTGGGTTATAAAATGCAGTAATTGCACTTAGTCCTAGCATTCGAAAGTAAGATAATGATTCTTGCGTAAAAGGACATCTACATTAGCATGTGGTTGAAGAAATCATTGTGAAAAAAACATCTTGGAATCAATAATTTGGCTCTGTTCGTTGTTTAAGTCTTCTTATTTCTAATTCTTACACGCCATTTTTCTCCTTGTTCCTGGTGGCTCAATAAAAGCCTCGTTGTTAGCTGTTTTGATTGACGATTAATGATCACGCAATGTCAAAGTCTTCATTTAAAATAAACTGAGAGATAGAATTTATCTATTAGAACTGAAAATATGCGTTTCGGTCTTCTATGCTAACAATTAGGTTCTTTTGTTTCACTCTCTTTGTAGCACTTCAAGACGCCCATGGTGTTGGTAACCATTCTCTTCTTATTTTACTTTTTGACTGGTGTCTTGGATGCTGTTGGCCTCTCTATGATCTCCAACCTCCTACTCATTCCTTTCTGGCTGCTGCTGACAGCTCTTGGTACGTGGATCTTTGTACGCTGTACTGGAAGTGCGACGGAAATCGGCGAGCAGATTGATAATGTGGCGCAGTCGCTTGTGGATTATGTAAGTTACTTCTCAGTTTTATGTTCTCATCTTGGTGGCGGTGTTGTTTGCCAAATGGAAGAGGTGGGCAAGGAATTCCTTGATGAGCAAGAACTTGTGTTAGTTTTTCGAGGTGCCTGACTAACATAAACTCGCTTTTTTATAAAACCTACCAACATATGCACGTATCTATCCAAGATATCTCCACTGTCCTTGGGATTTATTTTATGACATGAATCTAACTCATTGGTCAACGTGTACGTCTTCCAAATCAGAGGTCACAGGATCGATGTCTATCGGCGCGAATCCAACAGTTTTGGTGACGACCAGTAGATGTTGTAGGATGTGTTTCTCGTAGGGAAAGCTCCGGGAAACCATCCTTCTTTCCAAATCGATTATAGTGAAGATAAACCTCTTAATGGTATTTCTTGAAAATCTAATTTAACCTTGACCGACGTTTTCAGTTACGCTTGTAAATGCAGACTGATAGGTGTTCAAAGTGTTTTATTCTTTTTTAAGAAGAGTCTTGGATTGACAAGTCAACTGCTATCGATTTCAATGTAAATCAAAATAACTATTGTTTTTTTCTTCCTATTTGAGGAAAATTATTCATATCCTTGCTTCACTAATTCAAACATGTCGTTAAAATAAATGATTATAAAGTTGGGGACTAAGTATATGTTTTACGGTCTTTCTGACAGCTTCAAACAAATGGGGAAGTCAATCTTAATTTATTTCCATCATATTATTTTTCATTTTCCCAATCGTTTGCCAGTGTGGGCAATTTTGTCAGAATGCATAGTATTTTAAATGCTTGTATATTTGTGGAGAAGCACTATCGAGGCCATGTAAATAAGGCGATAAAAAAGGAAAAGAAACTGTGTGACTTATCTCTCCTAGGTAAAAATGTTATGTATGTGGAGAAAAACATTGAATGGAGTTTGCTTAGGCGGTTAAAAGGAGTTCTATCGCGATATTTCCAGCATAATGTGATATTTAGCCTGAAGGTGATATTTTGGAGAATGCTAATGGTCTATTTTAAGGATCAAAATTAATTGTGCTTTGCGAAGTTAAATTTCAGCCTTTTTGGGCAAAAATGACCAATCTCGAGTACTATTAGCAGTTTGGAGAATAAAAAGACTATTTTAGTTCTTTCTCATTTTTCATTATTGCAGTGGCAGATGATACCGTATTCTGACAACTGATGAGTAGCAGATGCTGTCTAGTATGCCATGGTCGATTAATAACATGTCTTTCAGAACCATCACTTTTTGTGATAAGCCAAATACTAATGAGATTTGTGCCTTAGGTTAACCCTGTAGCATGATACTCCATAATGTGTGAAGTTGAGATAAGTGGCTCATTTTCTTTAATTGAGTTAAAACTTCATTAATACTTCAAATGGATTGTCCACGAACAGTGTCTAACTGCCGAGTTGGGATTTAACGGAAGCAGCAACTTTTCCCAATTGAGAAGACCTTCACTTGAGTTGAACCATTGATGTATTTGACAAAGGTAAAAGAAGAATAGTTTGGATTGTTTCGGGAGATGTGAAATTAGAAGGGAACAATCATCAGAGTTGAGCAAATGGAAACCAGGTTAAGGAAAATGGTATATATTTAGAGAGTTAATTCTATGTGTTATTCGGCCATCGGTAACCCATCAGTAAAATTGGCTGATGACTGGAACAGCGAAGTAAGGAGCCAATATGGTGAACTGCTACCGATCTTCGGTTCTATCTCCTATCTGGTGATGATTTTGATTGTTGTGCCTAGTTTCAATTTCGAATCCTCTCGAAAAGAGGCTAGATGTATTTGATTTACCTTACACCGATTTATGCTTTCAGGTGTTTGTTCCAGCAGTGGCAAGAGTTGGTCAAAGTGTTGCGGAGAAAGCAATGGGGGTTTCACCTCAAGTTTAAAAGCAAATCGTCCCTTCCCTGAATGCTTTTTTTCCTTCAATTCTTTCCTCTTCCCCTTCCTTCCTGCCACACTGGGTTGATCTTATTTCTTTATGGTGCGCAGCTGATTTCGCCCCTTCCTCGTCGACATGGCTTGTAAAAAATTGCATTCTTTCCCGCGCTCCTTCTTGAAAATGGGATGAGTGGATGCACGCTGTGTTCCATAGGCCTAAGCATAACTTGTATATTTTCAGGTCAAATTCATTATATTGACATAATTTATTAAATAGCCGTGTTTCTATCCCCAGCACCCATTTTGCCCTCGCTGAATGAACTAATTTATTGAGGCTTATTCTACATCTCCGATTCCGCTTTTTGGATTTGGGTTGGAATTTTGGCTTGTGTTTGCAAATTATGAGGAAGTAGAATTCGTTGGAATTTACTGTTTTCTTAGGGGTTGGGGCTTCAGTTTGCCCTTTGGTACACTCATGTGATTAAAGGTACTTTTTAACATTTCTAATAAATACCACTTGGGATATTTACATCACGTGCGACGCAATACCTCATAAGAACCCGAAGAGGCATTTACTATTAGGGTAAGTTAACAAGTCACTACTGATGGTATTATTGCCATAACCGCTATACTGGAATGCCAATGCTCATATGAATAGAAAGCTTCGAGAAAGTCTGATAAGACGGAATAAAGAGTAACTTAGCTAATCTCGCTTGTCCTTGGTCAACTGTGAAGTTGCATCTGAAGTGTATGAGTAAACTAAATAGGATGCAAATTTGGGTGCCATCGTATCAATGCTCCCATATTAGCTAAGATGTGCGGTGAAGCACGTCCATTATTTTGCTATCAAGACAACGCTCGTATTCAAATCAATTGTCCATTTAATCCTCTAAGTCAAACCAGGGTTGACTATTCCTAGACCTTTTATTTCCATTTGGTGGGATTTACGGGCAATTATCCATTGGAAATGGTTAGAATGACCTCCAAAAGATCCAAGAATTAATTCCCTCTAATTACTATTTCTCCAACAAAATACAAACTAATCTTTAGAAAGAAAATGAATTGATTTAAGGATATGTCCTATTTATTTTAATGGTGTGCATCATCAAAATAAAGTAATTATTTTAGCCGATTCCATTCAAATAAGCCTATGGATAGACTTTAGTCGTGATCTTAGAGCTTAAACTGGCTACAGTCAGGTATAAATAGCCCCTACCACAGTCATCCACTTTAGATTTGGCCCGAAATGACGTGTGCTATCGTGCGTAGAAAGTTTATTGCAATAGGCTTGCCATTCGAGTATAGTTAACGGCACTTTGCAGGAACATTGAACACTGATTGGTTGCGAGACCTCTGCGCTTAATACCCTGATTGCTCGATGCGGTATCGCTTACATGCTAGCACCTTCCGGGATGTTCTAGTGTATTGAAAACTCGGTTTGATATTGAACAACCGAAGGTCTGAAGTTATTTTATGGAGAAATACTTTTTGATCAAACTATGTATACAAATATCAGCAAAAGTCGTCAAGGTGTTTGGACACCAAATTTTCCGAGTAAGCGCCTCTTTGATATTAACATTCTTTGTAGTATACCAAGATGCAACTGAGGCCTGGAATTTCTTCTTTGTTTTTACATTCAAAATTAGTGGTGAAACGAAGCTACAGAGCTAGCAATGTCTCAATGTTTTTAATGCTCTTTATTTTTAAGTTACTCCTTTACCGCTCATACACACACACGCGCGCGCAAGTGCATTGAAACCTTAAAAACACCAGACATTTACTCCATATATTCTACTTGGAACAAGTGAAATCGCAAAAAAATCTTAACGTTATTTCTGTATAATTTGCAATGTTTTTAATGGATCTCAGGTGAATTTAGATGACATCGGAATGTGAAAGCCTGAAGCAGTTCATTCAGTACCCAATTACATGGAAGGAGAAAGTTTCTCCCTACTCAAGTAGTTAAGGCGAAGGCTTCCAGAAGCCTCTTGTTCTTATGGTATAAGCTTCAGGATCCAAAATTAATCAATAGTGATAGCTCTCCTTCATTTGATACCAAACGTTTTTTGAAAAATCTCAGAATAAATTGAGGCATTGTTACGTGGTTATTTAACTAACGTTGTTGATGCACAAGTATTACATTTTTAATGGCGGAATTTAAACCTACCAACTTCAATAAATACTTCATGTTCATGTGAGAATACGACAAATGCGGTTACATTTAAATTTTATCAGATCGAACAGTTACCACTTTCGAAATTTAAAGTGCGCACCCAAAATTTCACTTCAAAAGCCCCCTTTATTTGGTTTATCCTATTCCTAAAAGCAAATTAATGAGATTAGATTACCGAAGCTAATAGGAGCAACCCATTAACCTCTGTCAACTATTGTTAATATTTTCACAAGCCAAAGAGTGTACTGTGTAATATAAGCCAATAGTAAAGTCTCATGACTTGACTCACATTTTGACTGGTTAAAGTACGCTCACAATATCTGGATCAAGAGATCCGTTACCGTAATTTCTCCATACAAGAGTAAATAGATGAGAGCAAAAAATTATTTTATAACATAGGAGAACCTATTGTTAAAAAGCGATCCTAACCATGCTTGGTTAATGTGAAGTACGCTCTTTAAAGAAAGATTTGGACCATATGGGCTCTACAATTGTGAGAAACAACTTTACAACAAATTCTTTTATGAGTCGGATCAAATTCAGTAGGAGTTCACAACGAAGATCACACTCTCTGCATTTAAAATATACGAATTTCGATAATACATGTACATATTATGAATAATTAAATAGTGCTAGAAAAGATAATAAACTTACGTCTGTATCTCGATTTCTAAGTTCGCACAAATTAAGGGGTTTTAATTTGTCACAGTTGTGGTTTCGTCTTTATAAGTGTTTCGCTTGGGTGCATTTCACGAGAATTGAAATTAGCTAAAATGACAAGCTTTACAGTAATGGAACATTTTGTCTCGATGTGGTTATCTAAATCAAACAGTCTTCTTAACTAAGTCAGAGGACAAACACAAATTTCTAAAGTTAATCACCCTAATAAATGATAAAATCGCTGACGTTATATAAATAAACGTAAAGTAGGTTTTAAGAGGTTACACCTAGAGAGATTGCGGAGAGCATAATGCCACCAATGTTGAATAATGAAAACTCATGCCCATTCGAGCAATCTGGAGGATGCGACTGAGCCACTGTTCACACAAGCGCATAGCTCATTCGTGAGTGCGAAGACTTCTCAGTTGACCAGTCATCAATAGATGTCACGGCGTCACATTGCCCTTATTACATTTTTAGTCACTTGGGGTGTACGATAGACTTACCTCCACGTGATGCACTCTGGGCAACGTATGCCTATACAACAAAAAAGTCTACAGACAGTTGACTTCTGACTTCAAAATACCATCACCCCACTGTATGTCATATTCGACTACTCACAGTAATCACCTCACCCTTTCTCTGCCTTTGTGTCTGTCTGTCTCTTTTGCATCTGTGAATCCCTTTTTTGTTCCCCCTCTCGACTTTTTCTCATTTTGGTATTCCTCCCTCTGTGAAGCCCGAAGTCAACTAAAGAGCTAATGATAACTGTCAAAACGCCTGCCATTTGAAATAAATAAATTGTTAGTCACTTAGCCTTGTATCAGTAAAAGATGTCATGATCGCTTTTCTCTTTAAACACCTTGTCTTGTCAATAATTTTGAAGGAATTTTGCCAGAGAAGATTGTTGTGGTTTAGTCAAGGTTTGCTTGTGTGGCATTTTAGCCACTGGAAGAAAAATATGCCAGCAGGAGTTATCAATGCTTCTTGGATGTTGAGGACTTGAATTCATCCAGAAATCCAATGGAGAATCCTAAAGTTCGTTATTTAAATGCGGAAAAGGGTACTATCGTAAATGATATAGGAACATCCTAATATGCTCCTCCCTCATTTTTAGTTTCTACTCAAAATTCAGCTTTTAACCTCCTTTGAAGCATTTTACCATCCAAGTTGCATTAAAGTGCTTCCTCTCTCTTAAAATAGCAAAAATGTTCACTCCCCTCTCCCCCCCCCCCAATTCACCAATTCGTGAATTATGGAAATGTATTTTGTAAACTGTTTTTGTGCAATGAAAGTACTTTGGTGTTGTTCAATCGGTTGTTTATCAGAGTAACCAGAGTTTAATGCTTGCCCCTCATAATTTAAATGCTGTGATTTGATGATAATAGTGATTGTGCCTCTGATGGTCGCCTGGTCTCAAAGGAAAAAACGTTATACTGCGAGAAATAAATAATTTTGTCTTAAACGGAACGAAATAGCTAACCATCTCTATAAAAAATTTAAACAATTATATATTTCTAAATAAACTCTACCAGCTGCTGCGAGAGAAAAAACAAACCGGTGGTCCTACAATGGATTCCTGGTCACTGTGGCATTAAAGGCCTCTCTCTACCCATGAATCCATTATCAGACATTGATATAATGGATTCCTGGTCACTATGGCATTAAAGGCAATGAGATTTCTGACACTTGCTAAGAAGGGGACACCGATTTTGCAATGCATGGACCGCCTGCTAAGAAGGGGGACAACGACAAAACAGTGGTCCTGCAATGGATTCCTGGTCACTGTGGGTAGGCAATGAGCGCCTCTCTCTACCCATGAATCCATTATCAGACATTGATATAATGGATTCCTGGTCACTATGGCATTAAAGGCAATGAGATTTCTGACACACTTGCTAAGAAGGGGACACGATTTTGCAATGCATGGACCGGCCGATGTCTTTCCACGCGATGAAGGCCTTTATCAGGGAGAATTCAAGACCTCAAGGTACAACGAACTTAAAGCTCGGAAAGGAGAAACAGTGGACAGTGGCACTCTCCGATATAGCCCCAAGGAGAAACAGTGGACAGTGGCACTCTCCGACATAGAGGAGAAATAGTGGACAGTGGCACTCTCCGACATACCCGGCTTTCCAGACCTCAAGGTTCAACGAACTCAAAGCTCGAACAACAGAGAAACAGTGGACAGTGGCACTCTCCGACATAGCCGACTAGCCAAGAATCAGAAACAGTGGACAGTGGCACTCTTCGATATAGCTAGGAGAAATAGTGGACAGTGGCACTCTCCGACATACCCGGCGGCGAGAATCGAAGCCGTTGCTGAGTTTAGACTACGTATCGGACAGGATTGCCCCGTTGATGAGTTTAGACTACGTACCGAACACGATTGCCTATAAACACCTTCACAGATTGGGAGTATACACTCAACTCACATGTACACCTTCACAGATTGGGAGTATACACTCAACCCACATGGACCTTCACAGATTGGGAGTATACACTCAACCCACATGCCCCCTTCACAGATTGGGAGTATACACTCAACCCATATGCCCTTTCACAGACTGGGAGTATACACTCAACCCACATGCCCTCTGCACAGATTCGTACCGGACACGATTGCTTGACAAAACACCTTCACAGATAGGCAAAACACCTTCACAGATTGGGAGTATACACTCAGCCCATACACCTTCACAGATTGGGATATACACTCAACCCACATACCCTCTATGTAACCTACAGGAGCCTCACATGCCCTCTATGTAACCTACATGAGGAAATGGAGAAGACCCACCTGATTCGGTGTCCAACCCTAAAGACAAGGACGAAAAGCCAAAGATACTGGGAAGCAAGAAGACAGCTATTGAATTGCTATTAATTAGCCCATGGGGGAAGCTGAAGTCAAAGTTTAAGGGCTAACGATAAATATCATAAAGCCTGCCATTTGAAAAAAATATTTCTAAATAAATAGATATGATGAATGAAAGCAATTCGGTAACATTTATTTGTGCATTCTAGCAAATGGATTCAACCAGAACTTTTATCTGAGAGCCAAAAGGGAAATAAAATTAAATCATTTTTTATTTTTTTGACCAATAGACTTTTGCTGATTTTAATAAAAACGTAAATAGGCGCCATAGCCCCATTGAACGATGGTGCATTTATGAAAGCAAGAATTAAATAACATGTTTTGTAACGGTATCCGCCCCCTAATTCTGTAAAGTATTCCAGGGCAGGCACCTGGAACTGGCACTTAGTCAGGACATCTATCATCACCACGTGCCTAGGCGAGTTAGTTAACCCTGGCGAACGCAAATGTCAATATAGGACATGGTGCTAGTTACGGACAGTGATTCCATTCGCCCTGTGAAAGTGAACCTTTAAGATAGACGCTTGTGCTTTGGTACTTATGTTGGTTTAACTTAGAGATAATTCTGCGAAATTAAATAGTGGATCGACAATCGGGTGTCGGTGCATTGATTGGTTTTCCACGGCAGAACAAATATATTTTTACTGCGCGCAGACATGCAGAAACATCTAAGTACTTGGAAAGAAAGAGGTAATTCTCCTTCAAAATTGAGTGTTTAGGTAGGAGAAATGAGGATCAGGGAATAAGGAGACCACATTTCATTTTCAATTCTCGCTACTCAAACCTGTTCTTCACATTGACAATCCTGTTGATATGATTTCGTGTAATTCTTATGGACCTCATTAACTTGACTACTAGTTTCCAGATTGCCTTTAGATTTGACAAGACTCCAGTAGCTTTGTTAATTGTCGCTACAAACCTATTGCTGCCAATTCAATAGAAAGAAGTCTTTTTTGTGCTAGAGGTGCACTAGTGAAATAGCTCCAACGTGAATTGGAAAAAATTTATTCTGTACGATTAATCTCAAAAGAAGGAATATTATGAAACAAAGTAGAATTTAGGTGTCAGCCTATTGTCATGAAATTCGCCCAACTACTTTTGGTTTTTTCGATAATCGGCCCTGAACTATAATATAAAACAAGTATATAAGCATCGATAGGAAAATGACAGTCCATTTTCAGCCAATAGAGAAACTTATCGAAAATGATTAAATAGAGAAGTTAGAACTGTGAACTGGGAGCAACTGTGCGCTGACTTTTCAACCTCTGATTTCTGAACAAAATATGAGGACATCTTCAACACCCTAGGAGTAATGAAAATAGATTAAAACTATGTCTAAGCATTATGATTGGAATAAAAGCCCTTTATTTTGTAATTGATCTTTGACACTATGAGACAAATCCACTACGTGGAAATTGATGCCGATTTTTATTCCATCAACAGTCTTAAGTTCGATCTGACATTTAGTTCCAATGGAAATATGTTAAATATAACAAATTTTGTCCCGATATTTTTCTACGTATTTAGACTAAAAGATCATACAAATTAATGAAGGTAGCTTGGTAGATCTGAAAATAATCTCCAAATGATTTATGATCAACAGTTCGTAAGCAAACCTTGAAATCAGCCAGCTTGACTGGCAACGGAATGCTATTGGCCATTATGACGGACAAGTTTTACCTTTGGTCTGCGTAGCTACTGGCAATGTTTCCCATCCGCCATAAGTTGATAGGCCGAACGATATTGTTAAAGCCATATGATAACCAGAAGCAAAACAGAAGTGAATATCACATTCTGAGGTGAATATTTTCCATCGATGATAAGTAAACCAGTTGATGAAGAACTATCAATTTTTAGGAAATATCTCCCAATCAATTCCATCAAGAAAAAAGTTTTTACGTAATTACTTATTTATTTGTATCAAATGGTTTTAATAGTTATCATTAGCCTTTTAGTTGATTCCAGGCTTCACA